TTTAACGATTTGCATTCCTCAACTCTCAATCACAGTTTGATGAACAGGGATTGCAGAGTGACTTGAGCTGTATTTGTGTCATGGGAGCGAATTGGGTATAGTCCAGTTTAAGGAAATAAGTCACAAAGATTTCCAAATCCATGAAATTAGATTAATTTTGTGGTTTGGGTGCTCAAATAAATCAGTTCTCCATCTATTTTCTGATTAACTTATGGATTTTCACCTTCTTGGTGATCAATCTGGCTAGTAATTAACTTAAAATATTATTTTAGCTTAGTTGGTAGCTAGCTGACTTAATTGCATTTCAATAATTTCAAACCGACTTATGAATTATTGTGGAATATAATGGGCTATATGGTTGTCTATTTGTGTCCCATGAGTTAAGGCAACTTGGAACCAGAAATGAATTAATTAACAGAATTATATTGAAGAAGAAGGCATGTACGGTCTATGGCATCCAATAGGTTGGACCATATGCCTCAATGAAGATAAAAAGCAATCAAATACCTAGTACTTGTCTTTATTTAAAGCTAGCCTGTAGCAAGTGCAATGCACGTAGACAAATCTAGCAGAAGGGGTTTCATTCAATCAATCTACAATGGAGAGTGCTAGATGCCTTCTGGACTGTAGAATTTGGTAAACGATATATCAATGACGCCTCTAAGAGCTTTTGCACTAACATAGACTTTTTTTGTAGAAACATTTTGTAAATTAAGCAGAAGAAACCAAAACTTGTGTTATATGAAGCATGCATCAATATTATTTCTCCAAAGTTTAGCAAAACTTCTGCAAAGTCTGCCCAATAAGGCCTGCTATACTATGAAGTTATACAAACAAATGGCAAAATGATTCAAGTCCAAAATAGGTTTCTTTCCTTTGAACTTCCTCATTAATTTGCTAGCCAATCCACCAAAATTTGTCCATTTTTTAAGGAAATTAAACAGAACCCTCTAACATATAAAGATTCCAAATTTCTTATAATGTTTCAATTTCATGGCTTCATGCATTGGCATTTCAAGAGTATAGATGTTTTTACAACTTTCAATTTTTTTTTTTTCTGTGGAAGTATTTCAAATTTTGGTGAAACCTTACAGAATTTCTGGCCATACTATGAAAAAGGATTTTATAAAGTTGCTAGAGAAGAGGATTATTCCAAAAAGAACGGTTCTATTGATTCTATACATTTAAGCAACAACAGATTTAGGTTTAAATAGTTAGTCAACTTATATAGATTAATTAATGATGCCTCATTTTGCATGAATAAGCCAGAAAATGTAATGTGGTTAAGTTTATCATATATCGGATTATTTTCATATTGCAAGTCTTCTTAAAATATAAAATAAGCTAGAAAATAAATAAAAAATCATGATGACCACTATTTGGAATATGATAGTTGACAATGTGAGGCTGGCATTTTATACAATGTCTATCTCTAGTATTGTAGGGCATGATTTGTTGGAAGGCGGTTTAGCCATATATGGGTTGAGGACTTTTTCTTGGAAGAAAAGTTGGCCTAGACTACTTCATAGATCTCTCAAACGACAAATAGTACTACATAAAATATATTAATTCATATTATTGGGACTTCACTTCCCAGGAAGAGAAGAACGTGCAAAGAAAATTTTTGAGCAGGTGGAACTAAACCGTTTGGAAAGAATTTAAATACAAATATGTACACCGCAAATAATACGAAATATAAGATTTTGCGTTGTACATATTTATATTTGTATTTGTATTCTTCCCAAACGGGTGTTTTATATGTCACTCAAATATTTAGTGTGGTACTTAAACGGGTGTTTTATATGTGTGGTAATTAAACGGGTGTTTTATATGTCACTCAAATATTTAAAAACACAAGTTTTAAAAGGAAGAACTTAGGCCCTCTTTTCTTTCCCTTTGTTTCTCTACCTTTTCCTTCAAACCAAACACAGCCCTAACAAAGATGTGTGAGGTTACAATAGTTTGGAAGAAGTGGAATTTCTACTTCTTTTACCAAATATAAATAGTTGATTGAAAAGTTGAGGGATAAAAGTAGAAACCTCTGAAATTTTACACAAGAGTTGAGAATTAGTTTGGATTGGACTTGAATTCTTGGGCTTTGGGCCGGGCCTAGGCCTAAAACATGGGTTGACGTGGGTTGAGACTTCAGAACTAGTTTTTGTTTTGGGGTTTTTATAGTCTGAATCCTGCCCATGGATTGATGCTAAATTCACGGGCAGGATGCGGTTTACAGGGAGGCTACTAGTAGATTAGGAGGGGGCTGCAATTTCAGATTTCTGAAATGGATTGCAGTCCACTTATCTCCCTTTTTTTTGTTCTTTTATTTCCATTTTGATTCTTCTTCGGTTTAGTAAACTTAAATCTTCATAATGCATTATCATAGCCATAAGTATTGCCACCTCAGCATGGCAATCTTCCATTCCCACCCCTAATGGAAACATGTAGTCTCAAATTTGTTTACTTTTTAATCCTCATTTTCCAATTGCTTAGAAATCTTCCTAATCTCTCTCTCTCTCTCTCCTCCACACCCCTAAAACCTCTCCAACACATTAGGAAACTTCTCCAATTTTCATGCTACCCTTAGTGTGTCTTCCTTATCTTTTTGATCAACCTCTTATTGTATTTATCATCTTTCCATTTTCTTCTTTCTCCTCTCGTATTCCTCTCACTCTCTCTTCTCATCACAACCGCCACATGTTAAATAATACATTTTAGAACAATGTTACAAAAACATGACCCATTAAATATATATAATTATTGCCTTTAATCATGTACAATTACATAGCTAATTAATAAATTATTTATTTGATTAGTTAATTTAAAGTATTACATAATTGAACTGAGTAACATAACTATCCTAATTAGTTCATTTAATTAAATTAAATGAACTTAAATTAAGTAACCTAATTAATCAACTTTAAATTAAATTACCCTAATTAACCTATATAACCTAATTAATGAAATTAATATTAACCCAATGTTTTAAAAATCACATTTTTGTCGTTGGGTTCTAGCTTAGCATTCAATCATCGGGTTTGAAAATGATTCACTTATGATATTCATCAGTTTTAAAAATCAACTCATAATCAGAACCATTTTGGCCATCAGTTTTTCGGTTAGCAGTTCAACTATCTAGTTTGAATGGACAACCCTTTCTATTTTAAAAAATAAAAATAATTAAAATAAAAATGACCAAAAAACATTATCCGGGTTGAATGGTTTGACAGTTTGACCATCAACGGGTCATTGATCAAGTCAATGGTTTTTTGGCCAAGATACAGGTTAAGGGTGAAATGGAACCAGTTGCCTCAATGGTTTTTGGGTCGAAAGGTCTGACCATCTGGGTCAACGACAGTTTGAAAACCATGATATTCATCGTAAATATAGCAAGATAATTAAATTATAAAAAATAGTTATCAATCTGTGAATGATTACCCACTTCAAACAGTTCAATGATTATACAATTTGGACCAAAGGTCCATTGACAAAAATCAACTATATTTTTCAAAATAATGGACTAACGGGTAATTAAGCAAAAAATGTAACCAACTTTTCATCGAAAGAACTATGCTCAATGATCTTTGGTAGGGGAGGAGCAAAAATTTTTTTCTATTGGGACCAAAACCTAATTAAATGGATGGGAACAGGAGAATAAACGTGGATGGGGCTTAGGGGAGCTAGTCTGGATGGGGGTGGGGGAGAGGGGAAATTTACATGGAGAGAGGTAGTATCTAAGTGGGGATTAGGGTTCCCCTGGGTCACCTTGGCTTTGCCCTGAATCATTAGGGTTGCTTTATCCCTTGCTTATGTTTGAGCATTTTCCCTCCGGCATCTAAAAAAAATGGACTTGATTTAACTTCACCTAAGTAGGAATGTCATAAGACTCCTTCTACCTTAATTATACTTGACAAAGCACGGGTCCTGACTAATTCTCTACTAAAAAAGTAAAAATAAATTCAAGGAGTTTAGCCTCACCCTTGCAAAAATAATTTCTTGGTGAAAATGGTTTCTCCATAGGTTGTCTCTTATACTTAGGGGGTGCAAATTTAGTAGATTGAGCTAGGTTTAAGTTCGACCAGGCCCAGCCCTAAGAATTGGATATAAAGCCCGAGCTCAAGGTTTAGCCTGAATTGTTCAAATTGGGCCTTGCTTAAACTGAAACCCCAACACTATACATAAACATGTGAACCTGCCAATAAAATATGTTTCAACAACTTACCAAGATGATATAACACTGCACATCTCATACTGTCATGCATGACGTGTTCCAGTCTCATAGTGAGATGTATTGTGTCAAATCACACTGGTAAGGTGTTAGAACATGTTTTGCTAGAGATCACATCTGTGCCTTACATGCACATCTCGGCATGTATCATTGGAAGATGTTCTCAATACACGATTGGGATGTACTGTGAGAGGTATATATAAATTCGTTTTGCTTTCGTTTTCCATGACAGGTACTGGACGCTGTGTGAGGCGCGAATCTGATCTCCATTCCCATCCCTTTGTTGGAGTGTAGGGATTTATCGCATTGATTGCCACCTGTCAAAAAGAGATAGGAATTAAAATTCTACCAACCAACCAAACGGTCCAACTTCAACATCAAACGGTCTAAAGAGAAAGGTAGGAAAAGCGGAGTAACTCCACCGGCATGGGCCATTTCGTCAAAGCATCTACCAAACGGACAATAAACTAGGGAAACTTTAGTAAATAAAAGTTTTGATATTTTGTCTTTTTCCCACGTGTATGCCGTGGGAAAAACATCTTCCACCGCCTTCTAGTCTCTTAGCGCGACAATTATTCGAGATCGGCTTCAGTCACTGCAGGGCCCGTTCGAATACTGTTCGAACAGCCTTTTGCATCGGGAACATTCTTTATTTCATGGGGAGATATTCCGAATACAAGCTATGATGGTTGTTCGAACGTGCCATATGGTTGTTCGAACGTGCCATATGCGGTGACCGAATCCTATCACCAATTATTCAAACAGCGTGCAAGCTAACCACCACGAGCTCATATATGCTCAGCTTTGACCTCTCGTAGTCACACAGAACTTCCATTTAATTACTGCAGGTTTCAGTTCATCTTTCTTGTGAAGTTGGTTGAAAGGCTAGAGGAGAAGAGAGAAATGGCACAAGGGGAAGGGGGGAAGAAGAAGGTGATGGTGGCTATTGACGATAGCGAGTTCAGCCACTACGCCCTCGAGTGGACTTTGGAGAATCTTCTCGACAGCATCTCTTCGTCGCCGCTCGTTGTCTTTACTGTTCAGTCTCTCGCCGATCTTAGCTACATCTCTGCCGCTTCTTTCGGTGCTGTTCGTACGTAATCTCTCTCTCTCTCTCTCTCTTTTGTTGCTGTATGTTTCTAGATGTTAATTTTGTAAAAAAAAAAAAAAAATCTTTAATTTGGGTCGATCAAGTTTGTCGAAGCTTGAAATCGGTGAATTGCTTTAGCTGATCTGGAATTTTCTTCTCTTGTTGCTTTTGTTAGGTCTCGCGTCAGTAAAAGTTGAGCGTTAACTGTTAAGAGTATGAACCATCGTTTTAGATAGAACATAGTCATGATTCTGGGGAAGGAAAAGGATAATCTGGAAATGATGATCGATGTCGTTTCTTTTTTAATTCTCGCTTTTGCATTTTGAAATTCCAGGAGTCCAGTGGGTTTCTCCTTCGAGTCCATATCACCTGACAATAAAAGACGTTCCAACACCCTACCAACGTCATCTTACACCGCACATCTTATGCATGGCGGGTCCCACTGGTTCAGTCCATGACCTGATCCGACATTTTTTTGAGGAACCCGATCCAATTTATGCAAGAAGGTATAGCAAATTGGAGAATAAGAGCTGGTGTGTACTGTCGTTTAAGGTTTTGAGAGAGAGAGATAGAGAATTTGCACAATACTGTATACTCCATCGTGGTTTACTATAGTGGAGTTCTGCTCCTAGATGTAGGCTATAAGCTGAACTATGTAATTCTCTATAAGCATTCTTGAGTTGCTCTGTCTTGCATTTTGTTCTTGTTTCTGCAAATCAATTTCAGTTATTGGGTTTGTTCTTCCGCAACAAGTGGATTGAGAAATTGGGGAAGAATTGTATCAAAATGCTTTTGACAAACAATGCTTTCTTACTGTCTATTTCCTATATTGTTTTAGCGTGTACTGTCTTGGTGTCGATTTTTGCTTGTGCGTTGGATATAATTAATAAAAGACATAGCATTCTTAGAATGTCATGCTTTCTGATCTCTTCTTCATTTATTGCATATTTCTTGCCTTTAACAGATCCAGAGTTGATTAAATCTCTCCAAGACCATCAAGAGAAGCTTTCAGCGGCACTCTTGGAAAAAGCTAAGGAAATCTGTGCTGCTCGTGGGGTATGGTGACTCAAACTTAGTCCCTTTTAATTTACTGGCAATTTGTATTTATGCTTATCACAACTCATTCTTTACTATGTTCCTAACAGTTACTTGTGGTAGTGGTGCATGCATTAAGGGGGCGTTCTATTACATGAATGTTTTTTTTTCATTGTTTTTGAAATTGCCGCATCAGCAAAAAAAGAAACATCTTCTTCAACTCTGTTTTTGTGTTTAAAGGAAAAAACAAATTGATTTTGATTCACGTTATAGAACCAAAGCAAAATGGCCTTGGAACTGGCAACAAGAAAAACATTTCACATTGTAGAACGCCCCCTACGTGAGTATTTTACTTTGGTTCCGGTTTCCAACCAGAAAGAGGGCGAATGCATTATTTAGAAACATGAAACTGACAGAAACTATATCTGATTTAGACAAGTCAGAGTTCAAAATGGCTTCAGAGTTCAGACATGTATAAATATCATCTATTTACGTGCCATAATATTCACAGTCCAGAATCAAAACAACACATAAATGTGATGATCAAGTTCAAAGTGAAGTGAACAACATAATGAAGGAAAAGATTGTATTATGGCATTTCAACTGAAAGATTGTACATGTGACTGACTTTAATAATAATCCTGTGATCAGTCCTTTTAATATTTTTAAGAGTTAGGTAGTCCCCTACCCTATTACCTATTCTTGTCATGATCTTCTGAAAATGGAATCCTTAGGTTTTGGTTAAGTTCTGAAATATTGTATAACTAAAATATGAATCTCTAAGTCTTAAATACTGATTTTTCACACGGATTACAGAATAAAGGATAAATTTTGAATATGTAAGTTCTGAAATCTTGAGTAGTTTCAGTAATTGTGGGTTTTGGTCAACTTTTTCCCAATGCTGATGCCAGCTTGAAATTGAATGCATGGATGTGTGTTCACTCACATTTATCACTAAATTGCTTCCCTTTTCAAAGGTAACTGCAGAGACAATTTCAGAGATAGGGGATCCTAAAGAGGCAATATGTGAAGCAGTTGAAAAGTTCAACATCAGTCTTCTTGTCCTGGGTAGCCATGGACGTGGAGTAATAAAGAGGTCAGTCTCATTCTTTCTTGAAATCTCTCTCTCTCTCTCTTTTTTTGTTTGCGATGGTTGTTTTTTTTCTTGTATCTCATATTACACAGCTGTCAAGTAACATTCCTCATGAATGGTGGATAAAAGCTTTCTAGACCAACCTTGAAAGACAAAAATACCTAGAGATAAGTAACTTGTCTTTCCCTCAAGGTAATACCTGTTTATAAAGGACGGTAGCTACAAGGCCAATTTATCTCTTGCATTTTCAAGGCAACAACTGCCAAGGAGAACTTAGGTAATTGGTGCCAAGCAAGGCAACAAGAACCCATAAAGAACAATGAATATTGAGACAATAAATGCTTTACTAGTTTCAATATGCATAGAATAGCACAAGCCTTTGAAATGATTTCCCACTGTGAGAATAACCAAATTCAGAGTACCATGGATCTAGAAAATCAAACTCCTGATTGCTTTGCAAAATGATGGGAAAAGGGCTCGGCATGATAGCATTTGGATGAAATTTTCCCTGCAGAACCTCAGATAGTTGACAATGAGAGTAGCAAGCTTCTCTGTCTAAGTATTTTTTTTTTTTTATTTGGGGGGGKGGGTGGTTATTGATTCCACCACCTCAAAATTTTTTATGAGTTTGGAGGGTACTGCAGCATAGGTGGGGGTTTGGAACAATACATTCAGAAAACCAATAAAACTTTCTAAGGGGGAGCAAACCATAAATTCCTTTTTTTTCCTATTTGAATGCTTGCTTCTTCCTTGATTTCTTTCTTTTTTAACAAATAGTATTTTAGAAAATTATGTACAGTTTTATTCTGAGTATTATATAAATCAAACATTTTCTTGCATTCTAATGTTGTGAACTACCACAATCAAAACAACAACTATTTTCATAAAATAAATGTGCTGCATACCCTTGTGTGCATGAATTAACAACATCAATTCAGTGCATATATTTCTTTTGTAACTTTCATTTTATTCTTTGGTTCATTTCTTCTGGTATACAGATCACGTTTGGTTGTGTGCAAATGAAAATTTTATAGACATGACATGATAATGGATGGCTTTTAAATTGTTGCCATGGATGAGACATTTCATTACCATGAAAAAGGCTGGTAAACTTTTATAGAATGGATATCATTGAAAAAAACAGATGATGATGTCTGTAAGAATGGAATTTATGTCTAGTCATTGACATGCACAAGTCTTATAGCTATAGTTTTAAATTGGAACATTGGCATGAATTCCAAGTTACAGTCAGCACTGATGTTGGAAGGATGCACGGAAGCTTTTCTAGAAATAGATAAGCACATACAAGAAATTTTCAGAAATTGAGGGAAAAAATATCCAATATATTCCTTTTAATTCTCAGTATGTCCAATCTGCACATCCTAATTGGACTTTGAGACAAAAGGCTTTCTTTTCAGATCGGCCAGTTGAGCACAACTAAACCAAATGATAACATTTATAAGAATTGGGAATTCGAGAAGGGTAGACAGGCTTACACATCCTCTTCTGTAATAATCCACCATTCTGCTTCCTAATTACTTGCTATCAGTCATACTTATTTAATTTCATGGATAAATGGTTCGAACTATTAGAAATCTGTCCATTAACTGCATGGTTTTAGCTTGGATCATTCATAGTGCATGTTTGGATGCTAAGATGAATTTATTGAAACAGGGCTGTCCTAGGAAGCGTGAGCAGTTACTGTGTCCACTCTGCAAAGTGCTCAGTTCTTGTCGTGAAGAAACCCACGTGAGAATTAACCATCCATATCAAGTTGAAAATTTGTGTGTTTATCCATAATTCCATATGATCTATCGTATGGCTATGATTACAAGTTATGGAAAAAATAAAGATGGTTCATTTGATTTTCGGTGTCGATACTTGTTTTGTTTTGTTTTTTTTGTTCTATGCTCTTTGTGAAGAAGCAAATACACTGGATTTCGATACAACCTGATCTTCTGATTGCTTTGAAATGTATCAATTGCCAATTTGGAAAGAAGAAATGAGGATTGAAATTTTGAAATGTATCAATAGAAACTCCCCTATTATATTGAGAAAGGAACTTGGCCTTTCCACAAGCTTAGTAGATCTCGGAAAGGTAGGGACACCTTTACAAATCTTGTTTAGGTTTCCCTGTCTTTCCCTTCATTTTCCTACATTTCACTTCAAACCAAACATAGCATTAGTTTTTATTTTAAGTTAACACTAAATTAATTAAAATTCAAAAAAAAAAACTATAAAATTATAAGTTAGAGAACTGAAAAAAGAAAATCAATCCAAGTGGATGGACAATAAGCATGGTTGGCCTAGTTATCAAGTCAAAACTCAAAAGGGTGATGGATTCTCCAAAGCGGATGCCTTCCATGGTGGCTTCGCCTAACATTCTCTATAGAGTCGGTCCATGTTAGTCTTGGATCATCTCATTCAGTCCAACCTCCGCCATATCTGAGCTATAGGCTTCCTGCACATGTTATATTAAAAAATAAATTAACGGATGGAAGAAACTCATTTGTATAGAAAAAGAGTACTCCATCGCCTAGTCTAAGTGAATAGACCAAGAATGAGAACGCCATTAACTTTTCATGTTAATGTTTCTGTTGGTCTGGTTCTGCCTTCTGCGGTACAGTTTTGAATATCCAAGAGCCCATAACAATGAAAAAATGAATAAATAGATAAGAGGACCCAACCCACTTGCTTATTAATATCCTTTCAGGAAAGTCATTAATTCAATATTGACGCCGAGTGCATGCAACTTGGTCGACAACTTCTGCATGAGTCACTTATTAAAAGCCAATATAAATAAATAGGAAAAATCATGAAAGGATGAATAATTAATTACCCTGTGATATATTAACTAAGGCCCCGTTTGATTCGCGGGAATAGGGGTCTGGAATTGGAATTGGAATGGGTTATTCCCACCGTTTTCAAAACTGGACCGGATCGGACGATCGGATCAAAAAAGCCGGGAATCGGTCATCTGGTTGATTTCATTTTCCTCCAACACCGTTGAATTTGGTCAGCAAACCGTTGAATCGACCAGTTAACCGTTCGAACTGGTAACCGAACCCCTTACCAGTTTAGTCACCGGTTTGTTTTTAAAAATTATGGTTATTCCAATTCCAACCGTTTGGTTGGGCAGAAATGGAATGGGCTATTCCGATTTTTGCTGGAATGGCATTTCCTCATTTGAGGGCATTCCCTGCCCCTCCCTTGGAAATGAAGTCCCATTCTTACTGATTCCAATTCCTATTTTCATTCTGATTCCTGTCTGAACCAAATGGACTATAAGAATATACCATTCCAATTCAGATTTCAACTACCAACCAAACGGACCCTAATTTTAAAAGGCATGATTAATTACTAGAGAGGAATGCAAACAATGAGTTCATGCAACTCTTGGGCCTGGCTGACTACCTCACCCTGCAGAGAAGACTGAAGCTATGCCTAATTTTGTCTTGTAATATATATTTTATTGAGTTCCCAGGGCGAGGGGGGCCAAAAAAATATGAAGTTCCCTATCATGGTTTGAGTTACCCAAGGTTCAAAATAGCAGAATTGCAGAGCAGGTAAGGAGAAAAATGGTAATGTAACACAATATATTTCATTTATGCATGGATAGGGTGGAATATTTTGGATGTTCTTGACAAAAAATGATTTGGTTTGGATATATTTAGATACGTTAAGAAAATGTCATCCATAGGAAGTGGATGGATATATGGAAGTGGTATTTATCTTGTAAGCTTCAAGATAAATGACAATAAGGTGCAAAGAGGATGGATGTATGGAAGTGGAATTTATTTTGTAATCTTCAAGTCCTACTTAATGACAACAACCAAATGAAACTAACATTTAAATTCAAGGAGAGGAATAACTCCTAAATGCTTAATCATAGCTTTGCTATTTTATTTGAACTCAACACAGAACTAGCCTGAATCGAAATTAACAGCCAAATGTTATTACTTTTCTTTTTTATTATATTCTTAAATTAATCATGTTCCTCATTGTTCTTTTCCTATAAAAAAGCAGTTCAACTTATGATAGACATTAAGATAAAAAATATCATAGAGTAGGTACCTGAAACGATCTTACTATCTATCTTGAGAAGATGGTTGGCGATCTTGATTGGAATTAATTTATGCTAAAAAAAGTTTGTTGTGTATTTATCAATGTTTAGATAATCGGACCGGGCATAGAACCGAAGAAGGGAGAGGTTTACGGTCAAAGGTTCGACCAGGGTCGAACCATGATGACATGGAATATATATATATATATATATATATATATATATATATATATATATATATATTACGGATCATATAAGTACCATATATAATATATTTTATAATTTTCAATGTACTTAAATATGGTGGATGGATGGTAAGTTTTTTAATTTTTAAAACAAGTGACTAGGGCTCAAGCCTTTTTGATTTACATTTTCTTTAAAATACGTGTATAATAATGTAATATGTATAATAAATAATCATTAATTAGCAAAAGTAAAGAGGTGGATTAGTATAATTAAGTAATTTATGAAAATAAGAGGTTTTCTGTTCAAATCCTATTAATAACATTTTAAAATTTCACTTATATATGGACCCAAACGGTTTTATAAAATCAGGACTGGTTCACTGGTTTTCCGGTTCAACCATCCGACCAGTTGGTTTTCAGCCGACTTTGAACAAGTCTAGTTATTGGGGTATGACCGAACTGGACAAGGCCCCGGTCACGGTTCAACCAATTCAACCGACGGATCTGGTCAAGTTTTCTAAACACTAGTATTCACAATAGATCCCTACAATAAATACTAAAAAGTTAAAATACAACCACCAACGCTACAACTTCAGATTTTATAGTTATTTTGATGTTTAATCCTTTAAATTGATTGCCTGACTATTACCATCTATAGTCCTTTCAACTATTCCTAAAGTTATTGAAACCTTTTAAAGAAATGCATTACCCATTAGGCAAAAATCTAATGCCATGTAAAATAGAAAAAAAAAGAAAATATATAGTGTTAAAACTTTCATGTAACAATCCTGTCATAGTTTTGAACATCTTAATTGAGATGTGTTGGTAATCAATATATGCGATTGAGAAATGTTAGCAAACTGATTAAGATCAAGAACATGTGCCTTGTTTAAATCAGCATCAATTAATTTCTATTCAACAATAGTGTATAAGAATATATAATTAAAAATATACTAGAAAAAGAATTAAAATACAAATATGATTTGATATAATACTGAAAATGGTTGAACTTCCATGGTTGCATTAGCTAGGATAGGTGGTTTAGGTTGGGAAGTCTTATTAATTTTTTTTTCTTTTTTCAAAAGGTTGCTTTTCTCTACTACTACTTTATTTGTGACAATATTAGATGCTACTTGCCTATTTCATTTTCTTCTTCATTGTCTCACTCACCTCGTAAATTATCATCTATATCACAAGATCCAAGTTGACTCCCATGCTCAAGAGATACATCCAAATCGTTTTCAAGATTATTAGATAGAGCAGCTTGTGCATTATCTAGAACTTTACCTTTTATTATCTTCTCCACTCCAATATGAATCTTCTGAAAGCCATTCAAACCATATAAATAAGTTTTTTCCATTTCTCAACCTGATTTGATGTAGCTTGTAAAACAGTGGTCCTCATATTATACCCACTTCCATCTTTTGCATCTCTTGACCATCTTTTTAAAACATATTGTGATGGAAGTTGAAATATACCTTTTTGAAAAAACACTCTCATCCTATGACCACAAAGCAACCCAATAAACTCAATTTTTTTTACAACTACATGAAACAAACACATTTAGTAATGAAAATGTCATAACATATTCATGATGGTTGCCATACATGATTATCTTGTACTTAACCACTACATCAGTTTCAACTTCACTTTCTATGAAACAATTCAAAGAATGTATATACTCCTTCTCAAATTCTCTAAAGATTGTTGGAGTATAAACCTCTGCAACATGTTGTAGTATTGCCACTGGCATACTCAAATGCAACTTGTTTTGGATCATTTTGAAATCCATCTCCAGTTCTTTTTTATGTATATCATCTACTACTCTATCAAAATGGGCAAAAAAGTGAGATGAATTCAGTGATAATTTCAAGTAACTTCTTAATAAATTATTGATGCTCTTGCTTCTTTAAGCATTTGTCATATTGGCACAAAAGTGGTTCCTCCTATAGACTAACGCCCACTTCTCTTTTACTTCAAAAAAAACTCTTTCAACCATACATTTTCTTTCAAATTATATTTACAAAGCATCTTTTCCGATGCTATGAGAAATTCATCATCTTCTTTGTAGTCATGTATTACTCTATTAAAACCCTTTTCAAAAGTCTTGTAAACACACAAAAAAATGAGATAAATGTTTGGCTACATTCTGAAAAAAATGTGCCAAATACAAAAATGGTGATTAACCCCTGGGAGGACTTATTCTATTGCATTTGCCATTTTCTAAACAATGATTTGTCGGTATTGCCTTTGGCATTTTTCTAGTCATTGCATTCAAAAATGATATAAAAAGCCCACTTAAAAGACTTAATAGTCTCATCATAAAGCATTGCATCCCCAAAAATCACAATTTGCCCATGATAATTAACACCAAGAAATGTTGTGAATGGTCGTTCATCCAAGTTGATTCTAAATGTAATTTCAAATCAAACAACATCCCCAAAGTAATGATAATCAGCCACCATTTTTGCATATGCCCAAAAGACATTTGTTATTTGATATACAACATCAAGTTGAATGGAGTGGAAAGATGAAGGATTTTTTATTTGTAACTTCTTAAAAAATTTTAAAATAACTCTTGCACCTCCTCTTTCCACATCCTTCTCCCTTTTCGTATGTAAATAATTACAACAATCAACATGAGTGAACCCCAAATTCTTGACTCCAACCGATTGGGCAATATATTCCATAGTTGCTTTTGGAGTTTGATGTAGCACAATCCGGT